TAAGCTAATTTATACATGTTGTTCCTTTTTCAAAAAGAGCTGCCAGGAATTTTGTTAATATGAGCAAGCCAAGAGAAAGAGAGATGAACTCTGTTGTTTCCTTCAGATCTGGTCTTTCAAAGTATGTTTGTTTTTCTGGGGTCTGGGAGTATAATGTGAAGAAATGGGTTTATCAAACACTCTTAAAAATAATATTTTTTTATGATCAAAAAAACCATGGCAAAATTGTAGTGGAGTTTAGAATAAACATATTAAGTTGGGAGTGGGGGCAAAAGTATCAGGCAGCCCTTCTTAACTTCCTTCCACAAATTAAGGAGTAAACCCAATGTTATTTCCTTCTGTTAGTTTTGTGCATTGAATTCCATTCCTGATGGAGCCCATTTTCTAAATTAAAGTATTTATTTTGTAAAATTTTTTATTTTGTCCATTTTTATTATTTGCCACTCCTACACATACTCTCTCTCTGGTTTGTTTTGTACATGCTCTCTATATGTGTGTCTATCAATCTATCTGTAGGCAGTAATGTTTGTTTTGTGTAATATATATATTTTATATATATATTTATATATATAAAATACAAAACAAACTAGAATTCTTGACACTTCATTAGCTTACAAGCAAGGACATGAGTGCCTACTGCCTGATAGCTTCTGTTTGTAATTTGTATTCTCTTCATTTTCTTCATTTTCTTTACTGTATTTATATTTTGAGGCTGCCTGACTCCTTGACACTCTGGGAGGCTTACAAATAAAAGAGGAAACAATATGTAGAGAAAGAATACAGCTGACCAGAAGAACAAGCATCCAACGTAGAACAAAATTAAACTAACTAAAAGGGCTATACAGCCACCTTAACCCGTGGCCTGGGAGAATAATCAAGTTTTGATCATTTTCAGAATGTTACAAGGGTAGAAGCTGCATGAATCTCCAGGGAGATATCACTCCAGAGGGTAAGGGCTGCTGCTGAGTAAGCGCACCTCCTGGGTTGCACAAGATGTCATTGTTTAATAGATGGTGCCCAGGAGGATCCTAGATGTAGTCTGATACCCCTAGCCTCAGTTGCAATTAATTAACCCAGATTGCAATTCTAATTTTGAGAATGGAAATCAAATGACGATTTCATGGCTACATTTTTTATTATTTTTTTGGCCCTCTCTCTCCATCTGGTTTATGTTACCTTGAGGTCCTGATAATTAATTTTTCCATTTTGTTAAGCTCTTAATATTTTAACCTTTATTTTTGTAAAATTAACAAGAAACAATAGAACTATTTAGAAAATTAAACCCTTCATCTGGAAAATGAGTATTGTTTTCTACCTTGGTAGAGCTGATGTTGCTTACTACTGTGTGGTAAGGTAAAAATGCTACAATCTTTTTCACTGGCAGTATGTGAAACAGTATGGTGCACTGAAGGGGACGTGGTGGCGCAGCAGCTTAATGACGCTGGAAGTTGCCAGCCAGAAATGCTCAACACTTCAGCGGTTCAAACCCAAGCTCCGCATGGCAGGGTGAGCTCCCATCTTGCTCCCTCAGCTCCTGCCCACCTGGCAGCTTGAAAGCATAAGCGAGTAGATTAATAGTTACTTTCACCCCAATGGGAGGAAAAACCACTGGTGGTGTCTTGCATGGGAAAAATGGGAATTGGTTGCCAGTTGCTGGATGCAACACAATGGAAGAGACTCAATTTCCTGTGACCACCAGCTGGGCTCCGCCCTAGGAAGGAGGCAATGGCAAACCATTTCCGAAAAAAACTTGCCAGGAAAACTACAGGGACTCATCCAGGCAGTCTCTGTAGAATCGGTCACGATTGAAAGTGGATTAAAAAATAAAAACAAATGGTGCACTGGGAAAAATGCCATCCCTGTGCAAAAGCACTTCCTAGCTACCAGGGGATACTGTTTTTGTGTGTCTTTGTGTTTGTGCAGTTGTAGTTCCCACTTCACCAAGTGGCAATTGTTACAGTTCTAGGGCTGAAAAATGAGAATTAAGGTAGAGATGGGGATAGAAAATACAGGTAGTCCTCACTTAACAATGGCAATTGGGACTGGAATTTCCATTGCTAAGCGACACGGTCATAAAGTGCGATATCACAAGACCACACTGCTTAGCAATGGAAATTCCGGCACTTCTCGTTGCTGTCGTTAAGCACAATGTCATGTGGTCGCAATTTGCAACCTCCTGCTGGCTTCCCCATTGACTTTGCTTGTAGGAAGCTGGCAAAGAAGGTTGTAAATGGTGATCACATGACCGCAGGACACACTGCAATGTCATAATTGTGAGCTGGTCATTAAGTGCCTGGATTGTGATCACATGACTGTGGGGATGCTGCAAGTGTCATAAGTACGAGGACCGGTCGTAAGTACCATTTGTTCAGTACTATCATAAATTTGAATGGTCACTGAAAGAATGGTTAAGCCACACATGGTTAAGGACCCACCTGTGTCACAAAAGGAAGTTTCAGTTGGTTACTATCATTCTTTGATATAAGTCTAAATGAGCAACCGACACCCCTCCCCCCCCACTCTTGTATTGTGGTCACCCTTGAGGAATCATCAACCCTTTTACTGTGCTTAGATCCTGCTCTGAGATTTGTTGATTTTTGTCACTGTGAAGTTACTGTTTGAGTTTTCTTATTTTTGCCCATCATTTTTTGTGATAGAGATTCCTATTCCTATTTTGTGTGCTGTTCTTTTTGCCTGAATCACCAAACCTAAATGCTTTTAAGCGTGGCGGTCTCAGGGACTGCTTTGCAATACTGAATAGGGGAGAATCTGCCACTGCAACCTTCTAATGAAACACATATCTACTATGGCTGTTATACCAATAGCAAATAGTCCACGGATTTTCTGGCCCATGATCCTAATGCAATAAAGTATAAGTTGATCTAGGCTTACAGAGGTTCCCAGATAGGGGCAAAGTGCTAGTTCCTATTGAGTGTAACTACAAGCAAACATTTGCAAAGCAATTTGTACTTTAGATGGTACAAATTTTCTGCAGGATGATGGTATGTATGAACAGAGTACAAAGCCATCCTTCTTCCTTTGAAAACAACTGCTCTGTGCGGAATATGCAATATGGTATAAAGAGAGACAAAAGAAGCTATACCTGACATCATTTTTCAGCCTGTGGAAAAACTATAGATTGTAATAGAGATTTCATTGTGCCTTTGCTAGCAATGATGAATAATTTTAAGTAAAATATTAAATGGACAGTGCAAATAAATTACTTTGAACAGATTGTTAGTCCAGAGTTGATTTATAAGACAATGAATCTTTCTAAAGTGGAACCCTAGGGGTATAATTTAAAAGAGGTAACTGTGCTTGTTTCTCATAAGCATTAAAGCAATGTTGAGGACGTGATTCCTGTTTGGTTGAGAACAGAACCAACCCCCCACCCACCCACCCAACAGCCTTAAGCTATTGGTGGCAATAATCTTTCTGCCCTATTCTGGTCTCTGGAAAGGTGGCACCCCAATACCGTACATTGCATCTATCTCAAGACAGTGCGCAACATGTCTGGAATGCTACATTGGAGCTGCAGCGGCAGAAAGACTTTTCATCCACTGACACTGTTACTGTCTGAAGAAAGAAAAAGAGGTTTAAGTTTTAAACACAAACTGGCTCACTTCATACAATATTAATATTATCAGGCGTATATCTGATTTCATACATTCTCATCTCAGAAAGGTGCCTACTTTCTGAAGGACCAATGCTGCAATTTGGAGGCTAATTTTCCTGAACATATAAATGCAGATCTACTTTTATGCCTGCCTCTCACATTCCTTGAAATTGAGTTTTCTTGCTTTTTGGTTAGAATGTGAGCTAACTAGGTCTTAGACTTACTGTACAGCATTTCTTTTTCCTAGTTTCCTGTGGGTACTTTTAAGCTGTTGGGGACACATAGGAGAGGGAATTTAGTTTAGTTTGCAGCAAGAGCATGAAGAGATGAGTCTCTTGTCTCCTAAAAGCTGTAATACCAATGATATATTATTCCCTCCAATAATTCATTCCTTCATTTATTAAGCAAGCATAACAAATCATTTGGCTGCCAGTAGTTACTGATTATCCACATTTAGTGGTAGACATCAGTGTCCCGTTTCCAGTCTTCGAGCATCAGTTTGTGCCAGTTGTCCATTGTTGCCCTCTGCCATATCAATGGGGACCTTTTGGATCTAGAATTACTCTCCCAGCGTATGCGAAAAAGTATTTGTTTATTCATTAGTCTAGGGCACAGATTTAAGTAACTGAGGAAGTTGAAATAAAAATGCATTTATATATGTAATGGATTGGAATAACATGCTCTGAGGCTTTGTTAATAAGTTTACTTATTTGGTTAAGTACTATAATATGATTGGAACTGGGTAGATTCTGCAACCTACATTATTCTGGGATAAACTCCTGAAGAGGCAGGCAGAGTGATAGCCTCATCCTCCAGTCAAAGCTCATCTGCCTCCACCAAAGAACAGTCCTAGAATTAGAGCAAGGCAGTTGTCTTGGACAGTAGGGTGGTATTGTGTGGGAATTAATGACAGCACCCCTAGCTATTCTCTTGTGTCTCCCAAATTTTTCTTGCAATTTTTATTAAAATAAATGCATTTTTATTGTGTTGGAAGACCAAGCTGAATATTCTCTACAGACTATCCAGCACTTTCCAAACTAGTTTATTATTTTCAAATGCAATGGAGGATACTGTCGTCTCATCAGTGTTGAAGTAACAATGCTATCTAGGTCAACTTTAGGCAGTGGTCTGATTAATCAGATACCCAGTGTGATGAGCTTCAGGAGGTGTCCTTAGATAGCAAAATGTCTGGTATGCATTGCCCTTTCTCTGAAAGATATATTGCATGACCATTTTAATTCCATAGGTGATAGCGGTAATTCATCAGAATAATCCATTAAAATGGACTTGGCATGTTATGTAAAGGAGCTGTATAAAGATTCTAGAATACATAAGTTTAAATTAGTTTTCTAATTCACCAGATAATGTGTTTTCTTATATTCAGAATATGGTGGCCTAGGTTTGGATTTCTCCTACAGCGCTGCAGTGGCAGAAGAATTGGGAAGGTGTCGCTGTGGAAGTATTCCCATGGCTGTTGGAATGCAAACCAATATGACTACACCTTCTCTTACAAGGTAAATTTGTGAAGAAATTCTTGGCTCTACTCTTTTTTTCCACTGGACCATAGAATTAGAAGGGACCATTTAGGGCATCAAGATCAATTTCCTACTCAGTGTATTAGTTCTTCAGGTAATAGTGGATTTTCAGAATCTTTGGAAAAGACAACAGAAGAGAAATAGCTTTAAATCTAGCTCTGTGCAGTACAGATAAAGAAAAATGGGTCTACAGATTAATTTCATTATCCCACATTTCACCTCAGGATAGAAGTATGACACAGCTCTAATTTTCGAGGCATGCTTCTGTGGGGGTTTTTTTATTACAATAAACTGCTGTAGGAAAGAAAGGTAGCATGCAGAGAGGTGGTTGCAAACTTTACTGGTAAGTTTTGCAAAGTAAATAAACAAGCGGCAAAGGAAATGTGAGTGCAAACGTGCGCACACAAACAGAGAAACAAGTGCCTAAAAGTTCAGCAAGCTTGGCTTAAAAGAGTTCCAATCCAAAACAGCAGGCACAAGAGTGGTCAAGCAAAATCCAAGGGATCAAGCAAAATTCAGGGGTCCAAACGTCGTAGAAGGTTCGTCAGCCAGTCCAGGTCCAGAGGCAAAGTCATGAGGTTTCAAATTGGGAGTCAAGGCCCATGGAGCCTGGGTAAGCAAACACATGTTGCCAACAGAGAGGCTTGACCTTGCTGCTCTTCTTAAATAGAAGCAACCCCGCTGTGGCTCATTTGGAAGGGCTAGCTCCTTTCTTGCAGGAAGCCTTGCCGCGTGCCTTTGCTCTGTTCTCCTCTCCACACAGCGAGCCCTTCCTGGGGGGTGGGGGTGGCAGCTCATACTCCTCATCTTCAGAGACCGGCAGCAGCTGTGCCTGCTGGTTACCGGACAGCCTCACCTCCTCTGCCTGCAGCTCCTCAGGCAGCAGTTCACCCGGCAACTCTGGAACTGGCTGCTCATTGTCAGTCTCCTCATCTGAGTGAGCTCGCTATGACAAGTAGCACAGGAAGCTCTTTTAATTAGTAAATAATATTGATGACATTTGAGAAGATGCTTACCTGGTGTATTTATTTATTACATAATTGCAACAGTCCAGCAAATGACCTGGGATGTCCCCAGTTTAGCCGTTTGCTCTGACTTCAGGCAAGCTATTGTTACTTTGACAGGCTGCTAGCCTGTCTTCAAAGGTCAAAGGACATGGAAAGTACCTAGAAAATACTATATACACTAAACAAAACCCATTTTTGTTTTATTTTCTTGCTAGACTATATTAGTAGCATAGCAAGGGGTGCAGGGGATGGCAACCTTGTAGGTGTTGGACACTGTCTCACATTTTTTTGGTGCAAGTGCCAAATAAAAATGTTTTAAAACCTTAAAGTGGCTAAATTCATTCAAGGTTGCCAAATCTCACAAGATTTCGAGAGTTTTGTCTTGAAACTTCACAAGGATTCAACATGCTTTACCACAGTCTAGTAAAGATTCTTGACCCCTCATGAGTTCCAGCCATATGTATTTGGGTGCCCTGAATGCCATCGAAAGGTGCAATTCATAACGTGGTGCCTACATTCATCACTCTGCTGATCCTAGATGCAGTATATAGTTTGGGAGGGGCAAGCGCTTTTCTTTTCGCAGTGTGACATCATGTGATGAATCTGTATTCTGGTGGCCATTTTAGGATCTGGGAAATATATTAGCTAAATAAATCTGCTCCTCAGTAACTGGGCTTGCATGATTAGACTAAACAATGATGTTTGATGGTGGTGGTTGCTTTCCTCTGGGCATGCTTTAGTTTGTCAGTATCCTTCCTAAAATGCAGTGTCTAGAACTGTGGGTGTAGTCTAACCCATACAGAATAGAAAGGAACAATTACTTATTTTGATCTTGACACTGTACTTCTGTTCATACACCCTAGGAATGAAATTTTAATCTGCTTGACCCATGTTCAAGAGAGGCTACCACCTCTTCCTTGTGCCCTCGTATGTTCAGAATTTTCTTGGTGTAAATCACATGGGAAACGCCTAATGCAGTATTTCACTCTGCTTTATCCAAGCTATTAGATATCATGTTTGGTTTTATCTTCCTGTTTAGATAATAAATAGCACTTCTTAAGTGCAAGACTAATAATATATTGATCAGAATGAGCCTCACAGTGAAATCTGTCAATGCATAATATTACTCACTGACTTGACACAAGCAGCAACAGGATTTGATGCTTGATATCAGAAAGGTTGGTGGAAGTAATTCCAGTTGAGAAAATCATACATGGGAAGAAAATATTTACCATCCAGGCACTAAAATGGAAAAGACAATTAAAAAGAAAATGAGATCTCCCTCTCTGAAATGTGCTTATATAAAAATGTTGGTGAAAAGATATAAGGAGTTCTATACTTATCAGACGAAAGGCCTATGTAGCTGAGCATTCTGTGTCCCACAAGATGCTTATGAGAAGCCACAAACAAGCCATGAATTCAGTAGCCCTTTACCAGTAATGTATTGCTATGGAAGACCACCTGAGAACCCTGCATACTCTTCAGCCTTGGAGTGGAGGTATAGCTCAGCGAAGGAGCAGATGCTTTGCATGCAAAAGGTCTCAGGTTCAGTCTCTAACATTTCCAGGTAGGACACTCAAGCACTCGTGCCTGCTAACTGACACTGCGTCACTGCAGAGGTTAATGAGCTAACAAATTTGAATGTTTTTTTTATTATGTTTGGGTTGCTTGGTGAACAGAAACTGCTGGTTTAGTGAACAGACCAGTGGGTTGCTGGGCTGCTTCAAATTCAACTTGCTCTGCTCTATAATGTTTTCCATGGTCCCATCCAGGATTGCACAGGAGATACATATGCCTCTCTGGCAGGCCCCTGCCCTTTTGACCTTCTGCAAAGCACTTAAGACCTTGCTTTTCCTCTAGCGCTGGGATTGGATGGGATTGATATGGGATCAGTGTGTTGTGGGCTGCATTGGAAAATTTAGCTGTGGCGCCAGGTCTTTCGGGTTTTGGTTTTACTGCTTTTCTTTCATTGTTTGTATATATTGTTTTTATCCTTGGGTTGTGAGCCACCCAGAGTTTGGTTTAAGATGGGTAGCCGTATAAACATTTTAAATTGTGTGTGTGTGTGTGTGTGTGTGTGTTTTCCTATAATGCAAGTCAACTGACAAGCTATATTAAGAAAGTCATTTTGCCTCCTTCCACTTCCATTCTGATTTGAATGAATGTTACCATGCTTGAGTATATCTGAGGAGTGAGGACATTCTTCTGTGTTTTCGCTCAATATGAAGGGTTTGTGTGTGTGTGGGGGGGGGGGGGGGG